CTCCAGGCCGAAGCACCGCGCGCGGCCGGGCCCGGGGTCCCCGTCGCGCACCAGCAGCTGCAGCTCTCCAGTTTTCTCCAAATAAATATTGGCCCCAGAGGAGTCCGGGAGGGGCTTGATGCACAGCGTCAGGTGCCGGGAGGGCGCAAAGGTGTTGGGCCGCAGGTTGACGATGAGAGCGCCGGTCGGGTACATCCACTCCACGGTGCCCGCGGAGCAGCGCAGGTACACCTGCTCCACCTCCTTCCGGTGGGCCTCGTGCGTCAGCCCGCTGCGGAGGGAACGGACGCCGTCAGCCACGCCCACCTGCGCCCACCTGCGTGCCCCGCCCACGGCAGGCCCCGCCCTGCTGACCCTCTGCCCAAGGTCTGGCAGTGCAGGCAGCCCTCACCACCCCCAGCTCCGCACTGTCTCTGCCCCGCAGCCACCCGGCCTCCCACCCCCGTCCCTTCTAGCCAGCCAGCTCCAGAGTCCAGGGAAGGTGGGGCTCTGGTGAGTGCAGGTGGCATTTGGCTCCCAGGCCCTCTCGACACCTGGACGCTCAGTGTCTGCTGGCCATGAGGCTGCAGCATCAGGCGCCCGTGCCCTTGGGGTTCCCCTGAATCAGGGAGGTGATGGGTACGGTGGAGGTGAGAGCCAAGGAAAGGACGGATCTCCCAAAACACAGTCAGGGAGACACCAGAAGGACTTGGGCACCAAGCCAAGATTCAGATGACCAAGCCAGGGCTCAGGTTCCTACTGAGCGTGAAGAATAGCATCCTCGGGTGACAGGAGGGACCAGGGGTGCGGTGCACGTGCAGTAAACGCCATACTGCGGAGAGCGGTTTATGAATCACTTACTCTCGCTAGCGATTTGGGGGCTGAGTTTTCTTTTAGCGTCTCACTGTTGGGATTAAGTGTTTCTATTTTTCAAGGTGATGCTGTGGCTGCTTTTTCATTCATGCGCAAACTCGAAGACCCCCGCATTGCTGATCATGTTTTTTTTTAAAGGAACTAAAATGTCATCAAAGCGAGATACAAAAGTAGGGTAAAGATCCTTGCCAAGGGACAGACCCGGACAGGATGTTCAGAGAAGCCAAGCACCTCTTCCCCGGGGGGTTTCTAGAGAACCAAGTTAATTTCACTCCTAATAAACGCTCAAGAGGAAAAAATTAAAGTGTTCTCTACTCTTGGTGAGACAGGTCTTAGGCTTTCAAGAAACTAAAACCATCAAAAATGTTCAAGCTTCTTTCCCCTACTCGAAAATTTCATGTAAATGTCAGTTTGTGCTAAAGGCTGCGTCATAACCACCAAGCAGCCCTGGAAGGCAACCCGTGACTTCAGCTAAGTGTTTTATTACATGATCGATCTCGGACAGGTTCACCCGCATTCTCAGGATTTTTATGTGGCATAAACAAGGCTGCACTCAGAGCCCGGGCCTGACTGTGTACCAGAGACCCTTTCTACAGAGAAGAAAACACAGGACACATGGTTTGCATTTACTGTTGGTGACTCATGCTCGGGCCCCAAAAAACCTCACTTTTCATACCATGGCCAGCTGCAGGCTGAGGCTGCACCGTCATCCTGCAGACCACATCAGAGGGAGGTGTCAAGGAGGTAAACCCCTCCTAACCCCGCTCCCCACCCCACAATGCCCTGGGTCATGAGCAGCCAGCCCGGCCTCGGACGCCTACAAATTATAGTCAAGTAAAACTCATACAAGCTCATCTGGCACATATGTGAGGGTGGGCATAATTATAATGTTGTGTGAAAAAATTAGACTAAATGGTGAGTGGTTGCCACAGATGATTATAATCAGCTTGGCTCTTATGCAGCCAAAACAAACTTTATCATAGTGTCCCTCCTCTCTGGTCTCCAGCCTAAAGGATCAGTTAGACGCTTGCCCAGGTCCAGGCACCAATCCTCAATTCTCTCTCACACAAAAACCATCCCATCCAAGGCTTGGCTTTCCTCTCGTTGGGAGAAGGAGGGCCCTGGGGGTTGAGAGAGTGGAGACCCCCACACCAAAGGCTTTGTAGAGCCTCACTAAGCCACCCGAATCCGAACAGTGGGAGAAAACCCAATCTCAGGTAGAGCAGAGGGAACCCCTGTGGGGATAGGTGGCCGCCCCATGGCTGCTCAGAGCGAGGTGGACCCGAGTCTGGGGGCTGCTATTTACCAGCCTGCACAGATGACCATGCACACCCCACAGGGTGCGCCTGGCCCCGTCTATTCATAAGTCACCCGGCTAAAAGAGGACTAGGAACGAAATGAAGCTGGACATAGAAGATATCAGGCACCCGTTACTTCGCCCTTTACCGAGCGTCTTCGCCGACCCACAGGGGAGGGTCATGCCCTCGCCCACATTCTCCTAAAGCATCAAGATCAACAAGAAGCCAGCACACAATACGGAAGAGTTCACACGAGCATCAGCAGCGTGCGACAAGTGTGCAAGACCTGCATTTATACGAACGTCTACTCAGTCCAGGAGAAGCAGCTGTCCCTCGGCCTGGGACCCGTGGGGTCTCTGAGGGACGTCGAGGACTCCCAGTCTGTCTGGTGCCTACCAGAAAACAGCCACAGCTCTCGCCGCTGTTACCAGCACCACAGCAAACCGGAAAAGCCTATTCATGGAAAATTGCTGGAGGTGCAGAAATGCGCCATGCCTGTCCCGGTCATTGATGGCGGCGTGTGACGATTTTCACTGACACGCAAGCGACGCGCTAACCGGGCAAAAATAAAATGTCTCCTGATGTTGTGAAGAAGCTACAGGACGCAGAGAAAACTGGTTCTGTTCAGGCTCAGGAAACCAAGGGGACTGGTTTGACCTGGGATTATATAAATTGAACTGAGGCATTTTTCTTAAAGAGAGTGGCAAGTATCACTCCCCAACTGGACACACCCAAGGAGCACTTCCATAGAAAAGACAGCAAATTACAACTGGATGTGGGGTCTTTCTGAAGGGGTCAGTGCGGTGGCAGCAGAGCCCACCGCTCACACCCACAGCCTGGCTCAAACCCTGAGTCCCCAGAAGGAAATTATGGTCACTTATTCACTAAAGTTGGGAGGAGCTTCAGGTCAAGGGCCAGGCCCAGGCCCTGCTGACTGTAGTTACCTTTCATTTCCCCACCTGGCAGAGGAGATGGCCCAGGTGTGACATACCTGCGCGCCCTGCCCAGAGCAGTGGGAAAGTTCATGGTCCACTTTTATGACCGCTGCCCGGTAAAGCTCTGGGCGGGCCCTGCCCCTACACAGGGCAGGGACTTCAAACCCGCATGCTTCATGCTTGGGAACACCCAGAAGCACATTTGGACTGTCAGCTGGGAGTGGCAGGTGTCTTAAAGGGCAACTCCCTCCCTATCGGGGGATCAGAACCCACCTGTGTATCAGGTGCACCTCCCCATGCTGTCTTTAGAACGACTCACGAGAGCTACAAGTCGGCAGCACACCCTGGCTGCACACGAGCAGCGTGAAGCATGCCGACGCTGGGGCAGCAGTTACACCACCCTGGCGCTCAGGTTCCGGGAATGACAGCCCGCAGCTCCCATGGCTCTGCAGGCCAAGCGGAGGGCAGCTAGGGGCAGTCCTAGACCCGCACTAGTAATGAGAGAGGGAGGGGCGGCAGGTAGGTGCCCCGCCTCTCCAGGTCGCTAGAAGGGCCCCCCCCGCCCCCCCA